CCCGCCCCACCCCGCCGCGGGCGGGCGCCGCGCCCGCCCCCGGGCTGCTCCGCTCCTCCGGCCGGAGCCGCCCGGGTGCACTTCCTCCTTTCGGCCAGCGGCGACAGCTTATGGAAACAAAGAGAAACAAGCCCTCAGCCACCCCAGGCGCCGGACTAGGGGCCCCCCCGGGGGGGGAGCCGGACCGCCCCACGCGGCAGCCCCGCACACAAAGCGCCGGCGCTGCCCTAAGGCGCTGTCCCCGGCACCTCCCCGCTCCCCCCTCTCTCACCGGAGCCCCGGTCCCTCCCGTCGTCGTCTTCCTCCTCCTGCCGCTGCCCATCCCGCTCCGCCGGCCCCCGCTCCTCGCCCTGCGCCTCTACCGGCACTACCGTGAAGCTGGTCGGCATGGCGCAGACCGCCCCGAGACCCGTTGGCGCCTCCTCAGCGGGCAGGGTAAGCCTGGCGCTGCCGCCTCCCTCACGTGAGAGCCATTTCCTCACGCAGCAGGGGGCGGGGGCCGGCACCGCGCCGGCGCCAGCGCCCCCGCCCCCTCACCGCCTGACTGACGGCGCCGCGGCCGCCGTTCCGAAATGAGAGGCCGGGGCCCGGGGCCGAGGAGGAGGAGGAGGAAGGGGAAGGGGGTGCTGTGACTAGCTCTGATTTACATACGCGCAACTTCCAGCTCGGGACCGAGGCAGGTCGGCGGGAGGGGAAGAGGGGCGCCGGGGCGTTGCCGGGAAGAGGTGTCTGCCCTGAGTCGAGCAAGTGCCGTTGGGGAAACAGCCCGAGAAGGGTGTGCGCGTGTCACTGAGTGTGTGAGAGCCGCCCTGGGTCGTTTTACTGGGTTTCGGGTACGGCTGTTGGGCACAAAAAATGCTTCCTCTCTTTCTCAGACCTTGCCTTGCAGATATCCTTGCAGCACTAGGACCACCACTTTGCTGTTCCTCAGATCCCAGCAGACAGAAACTGTCTTCCAAAAGACACCAGAGCCAGACTGTAGGGCCCTGATCCTCCGGGTCTCTAAAGGGGTGGCAGCATCCAGAAGGCCCAAGCAGGACACCTTTTAGGCAAGTGGAGGAGAAAGTCCACTCTGTGCCTTGGGACTATGAGGAGATGAAGATGATTCCCAGAAATCTGCTGTCCTACACAGCAGCTATGGGTTGCAGGGGACAGCTGAAGGCCCTGTGATTCAGGTTGGAGTCAGCATGTAAGCTTTGACCTGAAGTGAAGCAGATTCAATGAATCAGGGGATGGGCAGTGTATCAAACTAAATATTAATGATGTAGCACTAGTGATGAGCTGTAGCTCTTGGTTACCTTAAACTTCCTTCCTAGAGGAGGCTGTAGCCTTCTCTACTGCAAAAGTAGAGAAAACAGACCTGGAAGCCAAGGGCCTTTTTCTTGTCTCCCAGCAAAGTACTAGAATAGAGCAGAAAGACTCTATTCCTGTCAGTCTGTATCTATGCCTTTTGGAAGGGGACTCTGGTGGGTTTGTGGGTCCCATACCTCAGTGGGATGGAAGATGTCTACCTAACACTGCAGTCTGTCCCACAGTGTAGAGGCCTTCAAAGAAGGGGGTGGGGAAGGTGATTCTGGCCATCAGAGGTGGCAGTGAAGTGGCAGATGTGGAGGTGGTAGGGCAGCAAGAAAAGGAGAGGAGGAGAGGCATGGTAACATTTTAATATCTGATGTGGGCTTCCAGTTCCACCCCCATTCAAACCATGGTGTAACTACAGTAATGAGAATGGTGGCTGCGTGAAAAAGGACTTTCTGTGTTGGGCACCCGTCTCTTCATCACCCCCCCTGCTTTTTCCAAGCTCAAGAGAGCAACTGGAATGGTATTTTTGCTAGTGATAGCAGATTTCCAATATGTTAATGATGTTACCTGCAGAGACAAGGATATTTTGGGGCACTTTTAATGTTAAAGCTCATTTTGTTGTGGTACAGACCAAAATTAATGGTACTAAGGAACTAGGTACAAAGATAAATTAGAATAGTGAATGTAATTCTAAAACATATACAAAAAATAATTCCCTCTTCAAAACAAGAACTGAACAGCATGCAATGTATAAGGCATGGGAACACGTATGAGCATTGAGAAGAAAATTTTACGTAGCTGATAATTTTTTAAGTACTATCCATCTGGTGCCTTGGGAAGTCTATAGAAAGAAACTATACAATAAAGGTGAAAACTGTATCGTAGAGTATCATGCTGCATGCACAGAAGGTTGAGTGGGGAGAAATTAGGACTGCAGCCTTCAATTTTACTTCAACCTGATACAAATTTTTTGTCTAAAATAGCTAAGAGCCAAAGAAAGAGAAGCTTAGGACCAAACAACTTTTGAATGAACAAAGACAGCATTTCCTCTTTCAACTCTCTTCTGTTTCCTCTGTCATAACCATGGAAAACCATCCGATGAAAAATAGGTGCAATTCTGTGGAGCAAGGATGGTAAGTTCATACGGGGTTGTGGGTTGTCCCCCATTACAGGGACACCCTGTAATCTGAGAGCTGTGATTTGTGAGCCTCTTAAAAGTTTTTGCAGAATGAGGACCTGGGACTGGGAAAAGTGACTTACTTCTTACGTTTATTTATTGTCATTACCCTTCAAATAGCATGAGATAAGTAGTGTTGAGATAGATACCAGGTTTAACAACAGACTACTCCAATGGTACCCTTCTAGGAATAAGAAATAAAAAAAAAGAAAAAGAGAAAAAAAAGAAAAAAAGAGAAAAAGTATATAGATCTGTGTCTAAAAAGCACAATGCTGGAATCATAACATTACATGAATGTTTTGCTAAAAAAAAAAAAAAAGGCAAAACCTTTAGTTTGTAGCATTCACTGAACACAGAGCTCTGGACCATCTTTCTGTTTGGCAGATAGGAATGCAGCAGGTACACCACCAATTCAACCAGATATATCCAGATCGACCTTTAGAAGGCATTCCTCTTGTTAACAAAAATGGATTTGGGGGGTGAATATTCAACTGAGTGCTCACTGCTCCCCCCCCCCCCAAAAGCCCAGAACACATGAAAAAATGTGAAAGTATAATGAAGCTAGTTTACATACTGAGAATATAAAAAGGATTAAATTAAAGCTAATGACTTATATGTTATGATTTAAAACAAGACATCTGCCTAAGGAAATTAATGATGTCACTAAGACACTAATACCTTAAAAACTTGTATTGTCTTTGATGTTATTGAGATACTAGAAATAAATAAAATACAGTTATTGTCACAGGAAAAAAAGTAAAATCAGATATAACAAAGAAGGAAAGATAAATGCCTAATACATGCATATCGTAATCTATGTGACTGACAATAAAAATCTTACTAACATTACACATTTTCAAGTCATCAGGACTAATGCAGTTTATGTACATGAAACTGAAAATAAGCTAGCCAGTGACTTATTGAACTCGGGAATGTTAAATTTTTAGAAATCTTGAAAAACTGGGAAAATTCCAAAAGAGCAAATGATTGCCCTTATCAATATTGAGTCATCAATACCTAAAAAGAGGGAAAAGAGTGACTCAGGAAAGTTGAGCTAACTGGCTTAATGATGCTTTTGTTTTGAGGAAAGATGATCATGATATATAAATTTTGGGGGACAAGATAACATATCTGAACAGTTAAAGTTGTTCTAGTGTTACAGCCCACATGAAAAATAGCCAAGGCATTTCATTTGCTACCAGCTGAAATTTCTATGGAATTAACTCCATATACCTTCCATATATTTCAAAACTGCTTCCTGATATCTCAAGGTGTTAGCAGAGGCAGAAAGATAACAGAACATAAGACAGGGAGCAAGGAAGATTAGGATTTGCTCTGACACTTTTTTCATCAGCCATTTAGATTTTCCAGTAAAGTCTGTGGGTGACAATGATTGCAATAATAAGTAATGGGGGGAAATGTTTGTAGTATGAATCGAACAGATAAAGGCATTATAATGCAGCCATAAATACATCTGAGAATCAGGACTGCAGGAGGTGAATATTTCTCTTGGGAAATGATAACTCCAAAAAGGATACAGTGTAACCCAAGTTGAGTGTGAACCTTCCCAGTCTGACCTTTGCCAGACCTTCCTGACTCCTCAAATATTTGTCTCATACTGTGACCCAAATGCAAGCCAGCTACACTGTGCTTTTTATTTCCTGAGTACAAACAAGTGTTTCCCGGAGTCCCATGCACCATGCCAAGTGATACTGTTCTAAGACCTGGTTTGTTGACTACTTGTTTCTCCTCAACGAAAGAAGAGGGGCATCACAACCTGATTCCTTACAGTCTGTTATCACTGTCATCTAGAACACAGTTCAGGTTAGCACATTGCAATGGACTCTAACTTTGTGAGAGCCAGAGAGTTTGCGTTGCCCAAGTGCTCACGCCTAGGGCATTTCTGCAGAGATGCTGCAGTAGCTTTTCATATCTATGGTGATCATTAAGACACACCTGAAGCAAAGTGTCAGATTGTGTGTCTATCTTGCACTCAGAGCACATGGAAATGGAAGCCTATGAAAACCTGATTAAATTAGTCATTGCCAACATAGTCAATACAAGTAGTGAACTGGCACTTTTTAGGCAGGCTGAACAAGACCACAGTGGTGTAATCACACTGTTTTGTGGATATTGAATAACCAGCAGCAGCTCCAGAAATCCTGTATGAGCTCTCCATTATGAAAGGAGTTGGCTACAGTCTTCCAGGGTCAGAGCATGCTGATAGAAGAGCACATACTGGTATGAAGGTGGAATGCTACTGAGATATGGCATCTGGCAGCATGATTGATTCCCCGTTCTTTCTAAGTAACAAAATCATTGGTAGAGAACATTCTGGAAGATCCTTTCCTGCAATGATTTGGGAAGCTGTATCCACCACAGTATGAAGCATGTTAGGGTACCATCACAAAAAACTGGGTATGTATAATTATTGAACAGTATTTACAAAACTAGTCGCGAGTATTTTTACTTATAAAAGGCTCAGAACACAACTGGATTCAACAGCTATTCCTCCATTCAGAAGGTATATGAATCTTAGCTGACCAAAGGCTGGGGAAATTAGGGGTGTCACATATGGTTACAACACCAGCATGCTTACTGAGTAATAATATGCCACAAGCATGTGCTGATACCACAACACAGGTTTCTAACAAGACTGAGATTTGCTTTGTAATCCTGTAATGAGTCTCTTTGCATTAAATGCACATACATATCTTGATTCTACTTGAGTTGTTAGCAGAGCAATGCTGTTGGCTCATGGGCAGGCTTTGCATGACATAATTTTATCTTTCAGTAAACTCCTGTGGCTTCTGTAATAAGAGCAAAACTCAAGAGTTTTATTGAGTTGATAAAGCTTTCCATGGCTGAGCTTTGTAGAAATCCTCAGACTGAGTTGGGCCACTTTATCCTGTT